GGGGGGGGGGAATCCAATCCGTGGAATAGTGACGGCGTCACGGAGGGATAAGATTCACGGGTGAAGTTGGCTTTTCGGGTAAGTGAGATGAATGGCATTTATGAATGGGAGGTTTAAGCTTGTTTGAGGGGTGAAAGGATCTGAAGTTTGCTGCTATCCGTCTTGCGCTGTATTTTTAGAATATTTCGTTCAGATAACGTAGCTCATCTTTTTTCGATGTTTTTTCCTCTTGTTTTCAAGTTTTTTTTTCAGATATTTTGCGAAAACTATTGTATCTTATCCTAAGGTAAGATGAGATTATTTTTTAGATGATATCTTTTCTCGCCGCATTTTATCTCGTCTAGATTATTTTAAAAAATGAGATAAGATAGTATTTTTAGGAAATTTTTAGCTTTTTCATCTCGTTATCCCTTATCTCATATTTGGTTATCTTATTTTGTAGATAATTTTCCTACTTTGATATCCGATTTTTTATAGGATCTCTTTTAGATAGAATAAAATTATTGTCATGCACATGGTGACGTTAAACTAGTTACCAAGCCCGACGGAGAAATTCCGAGTCTCTCTCATAAAATGTAAAATCTCTAGTCAGCACATGTAATAAATAAAAGAAGCAATCACGGGATAAATCCAAGGGAAGAACGATGTCATCATCCGATAGATTAGATAGGAATGATTCATGCTATTGAGCTTTCGGATTCAGTTCATCCAGTTTTCTGATTGAAAATTGAGGCGACGGAGGACGAACGAGGGAGGGGACAGGGCGGACCAAGTGGAATAGTGAAGTACGAGTTTTAATATCGTAATGGATGCGACCAAACGATGGCTAATGTAAAATCGTTCAATATTCCAGTGCATTTCAATACCTTCGCATTGAAAATGGCACATTTACGAGTATCATTTTAATTACACGCATTTCGGGGGGGGGGGCGGAATAGGAATAGGATGAATTTTGCGGAACTGATTTATGCATCTGAGTGCTGTCCGGGGATACTGTGCACAAAAGCTCTTTAACGGGGGAAAATCCAGTGGGCGTGCATGTGAGCTTCGGCGATGAAGCGATGGAATCTTCTTTGAATCCCGGATCCTCAGAGCTACGGCAGACTAATTGCGATTTCTGAATTCTGATAAGGAAATTGGATGGATTTCAGGGGAATATATTGTTGAGTGAAGAGGGCGTAACTACAGGAAGAGTGCTTAGAAGGACGTATGTGATGGTGAGACGCTGTTTAAAATTTTTTTATGAAATTCCCGGTACACTTTTTGGAAATTTTTATCGAATTTAATTACCATTGAAATTTCATGATTTTTTTTTCCTTAAATGACATCCTAAAAATTAGCAGTTGACTGTCCATGAAATTACATTTTTTTTTCCAACAGTGTAATAATAATTCTCCCATCGACAGCGATGAAAAGAACAATTTACGCCCCCTTTGAAATTGCATATTAAATTACATAATTTTCAACTGAAAGAACACATTATTTCCAGATATTTTAATTTGCCCAAGGCACCTCGCGGATAACCATTCATTCCCATTTCTCGTGCGGTTTGGGGCTTTGTATAAAGTGCAACTCTCAAAATGTGAAACTTGAAGCACATCGTGCCATCCGCGTATGAAACTTTAATTAGTATCCAACGCATTATCCGAGATCTCCTCCCACTTGTATCGTATATCTATAGAGTTCTATAGTTGAGAGCGGTGAGGTACAGGGGCGGGGGGAGGAGGAGGGGGCGTTAATTAAACCGCGGGAACAGGGTAATCCGTCATGAGGTTTTGGAACGCGTATGAGATGCATAAGGACAGGGGAGTAAAGGCCGAGAAAAATGCATTGTTTTCATCGTGTTACGGGGCAGGTGGAGATTTTCATTACCAGAAAATTTCGCCATTAAAAAATTTTTTCACCGGAAAAATTGTCGTACTGAAATATTTTTCTGAGTTAAAAATTTCTCTTTAAAAAACTAGGCAAAAATTTTCCTGTGGGAATCCCTAGCCAAACAATTTCCCTAGAATTTTCACGGGATGGAAACTTTACTAGAAAAAATTCCTAGGCGGTGAATTCTGTAGAAAACATAATATCCAGAAATTTCCCTAGCCGTTTTATTCAATCAAATGTTCCTAATGAAATACCTCTTTCCGCAAGGCAAATCTCTCTAAAAAATGAATAAAAAAGCGGATTAAATGTAAAACAAATTTTTTTTTATCGGGATTTGAATTTGGAACCTTTCGCATGTGAGGCAACGAACTTACCCACTGCGCCAAACCACCGGGCAAAAAAAAAAAAAAAAAAAAAAAAAAAAAAAAAAAAAAAAAAAAAAAAAAAAAAAAAAAAAAAAAAAAAAAAAAAAAAAAAAAAAAAAAAAAAAAAAAAAAAAAAAAAAAAAAAAAAAAAAAAAAAAAAAAAAAAAAAAAAAAAAAAAAAAAAAAAAAAAAAAAAAAAAAAAAAAAAAAAAAAAAAAAAAAAAAAAAAAAAAAAAAAAAAAAAAAAAAAAAAAAAAAAAAAAAAAAAAAAAAAAAAAAAAAAAAAAAAAAAAAAAAAAAAAAAAAAAAAAAAAAAAAAAAAAAAAAAAAAAAAAAAAAAAAAAAAAAAAAAAAAAAAAAAAAAAAAAAAAAAAAAAAAAAAAAAAAAAAAAAAAAAAAAAAAAAAAAAAAAAAAAAAAAAAAAAAAAAAAAAAAAAAAAAAAAAAAAAAAAAAAAAAAAAAAAAAAAAAAAAAAAAAAAAAAAAAAAAAAAAAAAAAAAAAAAAAAAAAAAAAAAAAAAAAAAAAAAAAAAAAAAAAAAAAAAAAAAAAAAAAAAAAAAAAAAAAAAAAAAAAAAAAAAAAAAAAAAAAAAAAAAAAAAAAAAAAAAAAAAAAAAAAAAAAAAAAAAAAAAAAAAAAAAAAAAAAAAAAAAAAAAAAAAAAAAAAAAAAAAAAAAAAAAAAAAAAAAAAAAAAAAAAAAAAAAAAAAAAAAAAAAAAAAAAAAAAACTTTCATTTGAAATTTCTTTATTACGTCGATCCGTTAATTCCCTGGATTTCACATTTATCAGAATTGAATTTCCAGTGGACGTTGATTGAAATATCCACGATATTTTTATGTTAACAAAAAAAAATATGATGGATCAATGAAATACATTTGACCACCACGACAGGCTCTTCCGCTTTTAAAGTACATTGGAGCGGGTGAATTCGTTGGGTCGTCGGCTTTGCCGTTCGATAACATTGGGAGGGGCAAAGCCTGTCAAAGCTTATCCAACAGTGTGAACTTTGTCGTTGCGCAAGAGCATGCAACCTGTAATGTAGCAGTTTATCCTGGTACATGAACTATTTACATGAAAAAGTCAAATCAAGGGGTGTAATGACGTAATTGTATTCACTTTGCTGTGATGTTTTACAATTCGAGAGGGGGAAATTTTCATCGCAGTCATTCTATTTACGATGAAATTACGGTGTAATTCTCATTACAATTGAATATTAATGGGGAAAATTTTGTAATTTCAGGTTAATCGATAGTCAGGATCATTATTTACTAATCGAATCAACTGTTATGCATACGGTATTGAACATTTCGTTTGCAAGCCGAAGGATGAGGGCTCCAGCTGGGAGGTATGTACATCGAATATTTAATTACACAGTAAGTTAATCATATTTCGGTATCTGTTGAACAGTGTTGGATTAAATTTCAACAAATGCTTTGCGGGGCGTTATTGTATGCTCGCTTCCATCAGTATTTCAAATAACAGTGGAATGGATTGGGATGTGAATGTCATAAAGATCATTAAAATGAGTATTTTTAGAGAAAAAAAAAGATAAAAAGCAAATTAAAAAATTCATCTGAAATGAGATAAAATAAACTAATCTATTTTATCTACAAAAAATTTAATTCATCTTATCTTCGAGATCTTGGACCAATTTTGCAAACTACATTTTTTGTCTCAGATATTTTTTCAGATGATAATTTAAATCATCTCGTAAGATATACTATCTTGTAAAAAATATCTTCTTTTAGATAACTTGAACATAATTCTCATGAAAAAATGAGATTAAATATGCTATTTTGAACTATATTTCATCTCATGTGATGAATGATCTTAAAAAATTATCTCATCTCACAATATCTCCTTGGATTTGATTTTTTTTTTTTTTTAATGAGTGAAAATGTCCCTATCACTGAAATGGGGCGATCACCAACCCAATCCCCTTGTTTGCTCTGAAAACGTTTCGTCAAAAAACATTAATTCAAAATTTCCAGCCCCCATGTACTTTTTTATTCCATCAAAACTCCACTTTTTTAATCATTTCCACGTCAACATATCCCTGTGAACGCGGAACAAACAGTAGCCACCGAAAAAGAGCCGTCAGAATTTCACGTTTCATTTGTTCTCCCGCCCGATTTATTTATTCCCCATTTTGTTGGCTTTTTCATACGGACCTCGCAATTCAGCCTTCTAAATTCACTCGCAATCCACCGGATGCCGGGCAGGGGGGGGGGCATACGGCATGTTGTTGCATCCGGTGTGTGTGGCTTGAACCGAGAAAACGTAAAAACAAAGAAGTAAAAGCCCGACCACGAGTGCCACTCCAATGTGGTATATTCCCCTGGCCTTCCAGATCTGTCCCAACAAGTCGTATATATGTGACACAACTTATCGTCTATTATTAGGTATCCGTTCTCTGTCTCTCTTTGGATGCACTTTGCATCGAGGTATGCCATCACTCAAGTGCATGGTAAATGTTGAACAAATTCTTACATCACTTTTACGAGATTCTCCCTACACGGCATTTCGTGATAAGGGATGCGTCATTTTTATTGGAAAACTTTTTTTTTTTTTACCCAAAAAATTTTCCGAGGGAGACATTTTTTTTAATCAAGAAAATTTCACCAGATTATTTTGGATAAATTTTTGACAAGGAAAATTTGAAATTTCCGTGGATATGTGGAAATTCAGTATATTCGATGATCTATGAGTTTATCCCAATGATTCAAGTGACGGGCTATTCAGAACTCTCATAAGTATTTGAAAAAAATTAAAAAAATGTAAAAAAAACCCAGGGGGAATATGAAAATTTCCAACCTCTCAAGCTCGCATTTACATGAAGAAAACTCATTCCGATTGACACGATTTTTGATCATGTGCTTTTGCATTTCCATCGCATTTCACCGGGGAAATGTCACAAATCTTATCCGCAAATTCAAGTGGTACAGGATTACCTCCGCATCTCTCTGCCCAACAGTTCAAATCTTCAGGGATATTGATACACGAATATTCCGTAAGTCGGATGTTCTCCATAAAATAGCCTCTCGATTCATTCCCTCCAGAGGTAGTCTTCCACTCAAAAATCCATCAACATTTTATTTATAACAATTTTTCTCTCTCTCTGTGAATTTTTCTCATAATTTTTTTCGCAGACTTTTTTTTTATTAATACTTTACTCAGCATCCACTCTCGCTGATGCATGGATGAGTGATGGTGGCACCTGTTCTTCCAACCCCTACAGTCCTGGGCTGAAAAATAAAAAGAGTTAAGAGCTGGAAGGGTGAGAGGGTGGAGGGAGGTGAGTCTGCCCCGTCGAATCGTTGAGCAGCCTTTATGATGCTCGTTCATGGCTGTAGTTTTGTTGATGTGCAACGAGTTGGTCCGCGCGCCCCACGAGTTTCTCGTAAAATTTAACAGCTCTCATCTTATCGTAACAACGTCGCCAATTCGTATATCGCTGTGTGGTTGTGCAGGGCTTTAAATGTCCGGGTAAATGATAAGGAAAATCATCATTACTTGGCTGAGAATTTTTCACGAGGCTGATGAGATGACATATTGGAGACGATATTTTTTCCGAAATTTTCCTTGGAGTTTCATGAAAACGGGACATAAATGACGGGATGATGAGCATGTGGAAAATTTGACGGATTTGCAGACATTCCAAATTTTCCGGAGGAAATTCTTGACAGAAATTTTCCAGAGGACAATTTATGCAAGGGTAAGTTTGAATTTGTATAGAAAAATTATCCCTTGCACAACAAACCCTAGCAGGAAAATTTCCCCAGTAGGAAAATTCTCCTAGTAGGAAAATTCATCTAGTAGGAAAATTTTTCTAGTAGGAAAATTTACTTAGTAAGAAACTTCCCCTAATAGAAACATTTCCCTAGTAGGAAAATTCTTATAGCAGGAAAATTTCCATTGTATGAAAATTCTTCTAGTAGGAAAATTTCGCTAGTTTGAAAATTCCTCTAGTGGGGAAATTTTCCTACTAGGAAAATACTACTAGAAATTTTCCTACTAACCTAGGAATTTTCCTAATAATCTAGAAATTTTCCTACTAATTCTTTATAGTATTTTCCTAATAGGAAAATTTCCCTACCAGAGGAATTTTCCTACTAGGAAAATACTACTAGGAAAATTTTCCCTAATAGGAAATTTTCCCTGGGATTTTTTTAGGAAGAAAAATATTTCAAGCACAAGGATTCCTTTGGGAGGATTTCCCTAGCAAGAAAATTCTACCATTTTTCTCCGCAATTGTCGGAGCGAAACAATTGTTTTTTGTTTGTCCCATTGAAATTTTTTTTTCGATTTATCGAATGAAGCCATTTCACTTCGGTGTCGTTATTCTCCGGATATGAGGAATTATTTCCAGCTCTCCATCAGTAAACTTTTGACCTTCTACCTGTTCTGGGTACATTCATCTTAAATAAAAGAAGGAAGTTACTTTTTTTCTGGCTACATCCCTCATTTTTTTCTTTTCTCATGGACATTACTGATGCTCTCGAGGTGCACAAAAAATGCAAGCGTTGGGGG